ATGAGACCCGTAAGACCACCTTTTTACACTTGAAACTTCACAGCAAGAACAATGTGAAGGTAAAAAAAAATCCAAACCTTCACACCAAAAACACTATGAAGGTTACCTTCACAACATTTTACTGTTTACCTTCACAACATTTTACTGTGAAGTTTCAAATGTAAAAAAATGGTGTCACGGGTCTCACGAAAACAGGTTGGTCTCACATGATCCCAAGTCTATATATATGAGGTTATTTTGCAAACCATCCATTTCATACAAACCTTACAAACTATCACATCAATCCATTTTTTGATGAAGGATCAAGATTGAAACAAACTAAATAAGTAAAATAAAAAAGAGAAAGAAAAGAAAGAATTCATATTGAAGACACGAAAAGGCAAAACAGAGAAAAACATATACTATGAACTTGTTTCATTACAGTTGTTATACGTATGAACTTGATGCAATCCTATATGACCTATGAACATGTTTCATTACACGTGTTATACATATGAACCTGATGCAATCACATATGACCTATGAACCTGTTTCATTACAAATTGTTATACATCTCTATGAATATAAACATGTTTCATTACAGCTGTTATACATATGAACTTGATGCAATCATATATGACCATGTTTCATTGAACAGTTTGAGTTTGTTTCATTGGAAATTACATTGTATCATTGAACAACTTGAGTTTGTTTAATTGGAAATTACCTTGTATCATTAAATAGTTTGAGTCTATTTCATTGGAAATTAGTGACGATTTTTTAAAACAAAATTATCCTACATTTTTTAAAATGTGGCGATTTTTTTTCAAAAAATTTAATGGATAACCCAATTAGATCTTTGCTAATATTGTGCTAATCAATATATCATCCATATTTATATAAATATTATGTTGTTACCAAACTTATTTAATAATATTAAATAATTATCAAATATAACTATTGTAAATTCAAATGACCATAATACCCTTATAAATAAAAAAAAGAAAACACATGGATTTATGTGATTGGTTGTAATTAGTTTGTAAGGTTTGTATAAACTGGAGCAGTTTGTATTTGATCGCTCCCTCTCTCTCTCTCTCTCTTTATATATATATATATATATATATATATAGCCACTGAAGGAAGAACTCAGTAATTTGTGATAACGGTAAGATTCAATTTCAACCACAAATCATAGAAAATCATTTCTTCAACTATAGAAACAAAAATATCAAGTATTGAATCTCATTTTCTCGTTTAAAGATTTAGTTTTTAACTAAAACTCAACAAAACTTGAACATCAAAACCAAACCTTAAAAACACAAATCTAAAATATAAGGCTACTGTGGTTCGATAGATCTCTTAAAAGGGAAGCTTTAGACGTAAAAATCACGAAGTTTGGTGTTAAGTATTTTACCTTGAATCGATGAAAAACCGAAAGCCAAGTATGAAATTCAGGCTCTAATTTCAAGTCACTGATATTTGCAATGTCTTGGCAACTTTGTTCATTGATTAGCTAGCAACATTTATATGCAATTTTTTTGACATATTAGTTGACTAGTCGTAAGCTTCAAATATCACCATGGTTTTGTCGGCTTCAACATTAAGTTCTCTTAATAGACATGTACTTTTTTCAAAACAGGTCCTTCATATTTGGTGGTCTTGTTGCTAATAGTGCCCCTTATCTTTTCAGAATTTACATTCGCTCCCCTCAACATAAAACTACATTTTCAGTCCCAAAAGAAATATACCCTTTTTATTTCATTTCTTATATATATATATATAGAGAGAGAGAGAGAGACTTAGAATCATGTGAGACTAGGTGAAACCACCTAAATGACTCTGAACCTTTAGTGTAAAATATTGTGAAGATTTGAGGTTTTTCTTACCTTCACAATATTTTGATGTGAAGTTTTTGTGTTATTTTGTAGTATCACAATATGAAAATAAACCAGTATCGCTTGAATCCAACCCTATATACATTTAACATAAAACTCTTAAAAACAAGTTTTAAACCATAAGGTACTAGCGTTTTAAGTAAGAAATAAAAAAAAAAACTATGAATTACAATTTTATTTACACTAGAAGGGTACTCGCGTAATATAGTAAGAAAACAAAACGAAGTTGAAGTGAAATGTGATGTAAAAGTGAAACATTAAAGTGTTCTTTCATATTGTAAAACAACATAATGTTGCTAATATGAAACAATAAACTATTGTTTCACAAGATGAAACAATATAGTGTTGTTTCATAATTTGAAAACAAATAGAAGAAAAGTTGGCACAAAATGTGATATGAAATATTAAAGTGTTGTTTTATATTGTGAAACAACACAATGTTGCTAATGTGAATCAATGTAGTGCTGTTTCACATGGTGGAACTATGTAGTATTGTTTCATAATGTGAAAACAAACTAAAAATGACGTCAAATACGATGTGGAATACTAAAGTGTTTTTTCGCCTATACGTTAAATCAATTTTATCGTTTCATGTAAAAATTGCGATTATATAATAAATGTAAAAAACACCATGATTTGGGGTCTTAAACAATGAAATTGTGGTTGAAATCATGTCTTGAGTTTTTTCTTATAAGGTCGATTCCAATTGAACAAGTGTATTTTTATGATCAATTCAACGCAATTGACTTTTTCCTTTTAAAGACTATATACGGGAGCGCCATACGGGCCAAAAACATGGTTTCATGTCGTGCTGCTTTGTTACGACTTCATTACTTCACGTAATGTCAACCTACCCGTGCCACTGACGTCGAGTCTTTCAAATTCTTTCACTATAGCTGCTTCATCGTCTTCTTGGGTGGACATGCCCTCCTCTATTAGATCGTCAGGGATCCTGTGGAATCATTAAATTAAGTAGACAATTAACATAAGAAATTAGGACCCAAGTCATTACAGAACACAAATGTCCCGTATGACATATAGAGCCCACTTATTGGATCTCGAAACCTTCTTGTATGATAAATATTAATAGTCAGACATGCCTAGCAAGTACATTACATGTCTCATGGTTACTTTTACTTACATTGGATCACCATCATCACCATAATCACGTTTCGGTCGTGGATGAGGCTTCGATGGCTCCAATGGCGGATAAGGCTTTGGTTGAACAACCCATGGTGGTTCAATGCGCTTTGGTGGTATACCAAGTGGATAATAAGGATAAGGATCTGGTACAATAACCATCAGTGGTGGATAAGGATCTGGTGTACCAAACATCGGTGGTGGATAAGGATCAGGTGTAACAAACGTCGGTGGTGGATAAGGATATGGTGTACCAAACGTCGGTGGTGGATAAGGATATGGTGTACCAAACATCGGTGGTGGATAAGGATCTGGTGTACCAAACATCGGTGGTAGATCAGGCTTCTTTGGAGGACTTGGCATCTTTGGTAGAATAGCTGGCGATGGTGGTCCTCGAGGTGGTAGATGATCCTTTGGCGGTTCTGGAGGTGTTATCTTTCTTTTCAATACTTCTGACCGCTGTTTGGTTTCAATGTATACCTCCGTAAAAATGAAGAACACGTAACCTTTATACATAACACCAAATAACATCCAAACTAGTGCGAAGATCCTTCCATATTTTGTTGAGAAACATTTTTCTGTACCTGCACTTGTGATCGTTATACTGACACAATACAAGGCATGAATAAAGTCCAAATCCTCGATCAAAACCACGAAAGGCGTCCCAACAACCATAAGCACCGCAAGGATGACCAATTTTCTTTTGAACTTTTTCAGGATTGATTCCTTCCTAGTAGCGACTGTTTGATCCTCACTTGACAAAAGTTTACGCAAGTTATCTATTTGTTGCTCGTCTACAGCGTTTAATATCATACTTAGCACTTTCCCAATAACACACAAGCCCGAAAGAGAGAAGAGAGAAGCAAATATTAATGCAAGAGTGTCATTGGGAGAAAGATCGCCATACCCAACAGAAGTCATTATAACGAAGGAGAAATAAAAAGCATCAAGGATGCTGTTTGTTTTCTTTCCACAAATGTGGTGTCCGGCAACATAAAAGGTAACCATACTTGAACCCAAGTAGAGAACAAAGACGATGATTGTATCCCATACATCATCTGAGTTCCCGAGCTTCAGTAGACGATCTTTAGAAGAAGGTTTTGATGTTCTGTTCGATGTCGCTTGGTCTCCATCGATAGAATGTCCCATGAAATTTCGATATGTACCATTCGTCTTGCGTCCTAAAGAACAATTCAAAGCTTCAATATCAGTATTGTTGATGAACATAAGTACACCACAAAAAATGAAGCTTTTTACCACCAGAAATCCATCGGAAAAGTGGGTTTATGATGAATGATGAATACCACTGCCAAAAAAAACCTCGCTAGAAAACAACATCACCCGCAGAATCACCATAACCATTTAATTAATGTTACACGGATGTTTGTATAAAGAGGACGTCTATGCCATACAATAATGAATAGGGTTGGATTCTAGTGAGGATGTGAGATCAACCTGTTTTCTTGAAACCCATGAGTATAGGTGTGAAGCACAAAATCACATTGAACATTCACTACAAAAACACTACGAAGGTACAAAAACAAACCTTCAATTCAAGTGTTTTTGTTATGAAGATTCAATGTTTTTTTGTACTTTCTTAGTGATTTGTTGTTAATGTTTAATGTTACGAGTCTCATGAAAACAGGTTGGTCTCACATGATCTCAAGTCATAATAATTATTCATTAACACATAGTTGAGCAAAATGTTAATTACTCACAACCTTGACAAGGCCTACACAGAACCCTACACCTATGAACCACATGTGAGGAAATATTTGAGAACTAACTCAAGACTAGTGGAGTGGTTCAAGCCTGTCTCACACAGTATTCAAACTTGAACCTGTTGTGCATTTGAACAAATGAGCTACATGCTAGATGCTGAGAGCATCTGTTAAGACACACACACACACACACACAATATCACGTGTCATGAACCTACCTGACTCTCTAATATTAGGTTCCATTCCTACCCGGCGTAACCGTTTTATCTCCCGGCGCCTATAACGAACATATGCATCACGCCTATGATATCACCAAATTAAATAGATACAATTAGCATAAGGTCAAAAGTTAATTGACTTCTCATCATTAATATTTAGTGGTGAGAAAATGTATAGTGGTTGTTAATTATTACAACAAAATTAGGATCATAAAACGTTAAATTTTTTAAAGTATTGTTTGGTTCATAGAATTTAAGAAAATTGGAATGATTAATTTCTTTGACAAAATTTTAATTCCATTTTTTGGTTCACATATTGAAATGGATGAAATCCTATGAATTCCACAAATTTAAGAATTCATCATTCTTTGGTATAAATGAAGGAATTGAATTCCATCTCGTTAACCAATACCACCCAACCCCTGCCACCACGACCATGCTACATGTTACTATTGTCACTGTCACACCTTACCCCTACCCCACCACCATACCATTACTGTCATTGTTACAACTGCCACCCACCCCTCCCCCATCCACACCCACCATTGACCACCATACCACTATTGTTGTCGACATAGTTTCCACCCCAACCCCATCACCCACCCATCTCCACCCTCACCCGCCTACAGCCATCCCCACCGGCTACTCACCCCATCGACCATCATGCCACTACTATCATCGTCCTAGTAACCATCCCCACCACCCAACTATCATGCCACTATTGTTGTCGTTACAACAACCACCACCCCACTTAACCGACCATGTGCCACTATTGTCGTTACAACAACCACCCCACCCAACTGACCATTATGCCACTACTATCATTACAGCAACCAACAACACCCACCTCACCCCCACCGACCACCATGCCAACACTATTGTCGTCATAATAACCACCCCCACCCACCTTGTAAGGATGCAAGTGGGGATGGGGCATGGGAATGTGGGTGTAGGGGTGGGATAGGGATGCAATGAGGTAGGTCATGGTGGGGTACAAGGGGTTACCACCTTGGCCACCACCCACACTCGTGGGTGGTGGGGATGAGAGATGCCGAGAGCATGGAGGGGGCATGGGTGTCAGGATGGTGGCGATGAGATAGGCCGAGAGCATGGAGGGGGGCATGGGTGTCGTGGCGGTGGCTGGCCCCACCATTATGCCACTATTGTTGTCATTACAACTGTCACCCCACCCTCCCCCCAAACAAAGATGGAAATTCAATTTTTTAAGAGATTCCATTCCAATTACTACCAACCAAATGCATAGTCAAATTACATCAAATTTTATTTCAGTTCTTTCAAAGCCAGATTTTTTTAGATTCCAATTCCATCAAATTCATTCTATGAACCAAACACCTCCCAAGAGTCATATTAGACTCATTTATGGAACTTAAGTTTATAAGACCAAACAAAGTTGTGTCCTATGTAAATATGTTGCAATAAGTTTATAGAATGCTTTTGGACGTTTTAATAAAATTTTATGACAATTTTAGAATAAAACTTCCTATTAATTTTTTAATTGATATTATTTGTAAAAACATCCTACAAAA